ATTTTAAATGAAAATAGTTACGAGATGTCAATTAACTTCTCAAAATGGTTTTTAAATTTATCATGCAATATTTTATGAATCATCCACAATTGGTGGATAAATTAGCAAATTCTAACTCAATGAAGGCGGCTGCACGATTTGTTGTTCATAAGTTCATTAAAGCTAAATCTTTAACAGAAGACGTGAAAACTGAAAAAGTAGAAGTAATATTGAAAAATTGGTCTGAGAAATTAAAAGAAATAAATAACAAATTAGATGGTAAAAAGTAATTTTTGAGATGGTTATAAAGAAGTCAAGAATTAAAGATCATTCAATTGTATTTTTGGGCTCACATCCTTCAAAGAAAAAAGGTGGAATTAAAGAAATAATATCTCATTTTATAATATCTCCTGGTGATTTGCTTAAGAGAATATTACATTCATTTTTACCTCCTTTTCGTTCTTATTATGTTCATATTGATTTCATGGGACCTGTTTTGGCATTTGTTATTTTGGCTACTACACTTAGTTATGGGCATGCTTACAAAATTACATCTGCTGTATATCATCGATCACCTTCAGAAATTTTATTTTTTTATTGCTCTTTGATGCCAGTTCTTTGTTATATTTTAACTCGACTAGGACAATCAAAAATTTCTTTTGTACAATTGATATCATTACTAGGATATGGTTTGTATGGATATGTTTTCACACTAATTATTAGTTTTATATCAGATGAGACGAACAATATTTTATTTTTTATGGCTATGATAATATTTACTGGATCTAGTGTTTTAAGAGTATGTTTAATAGTACTTGTAACTATCAAAATACCAGTGGTTAGACTTCTAGTATGTAGTATTATTGCAATTGTACAAGTTTTATTTGTTGTGTTTTTGTACTTTACATTTGTTCATTCTAGTTTTAAATTTGTAAAAATTAAAAAATAAAATTGTATTAATTAGTTTTTGTGAATAGTTATCATTAAAATGTAGTTATAATACTTTAAGAGTTAAATTATTACAATAGTGTTAGGAATTAATGATTTTATTTATATATAAAATTGATCACAGTATAATATAGTTTAATCACTCTACAAATATATTTCAAACTTAATCAAATTTGAAAAAAAGTTCAAGTATGGATTTTTACACCATTTACAATTCACATTAAGTTAATAAAATATATAATAATAACAGTAGATATATTAACTTATATATTTAAATATAACAAAATAAAATCAAATATTGGTTAATTGAGCAACGGGACCTGGAAGGTAGTCGGATAAATAATTACCAGCCTAAAGAATGTTATATATTATCCATGACCATGGCGCATTAGTGAACTACTCTCTTCCATCTATATTAAACTACTGATTACAATAGTGTTTGCAACTATTATTTAATAAAATAATATTTTACTGAATAAAGCACTTCAATAGGTTACTCCTTCCATTTTTACTTTCATAACTGAATGTTACGTACTCTGATCTAATAGACCAGAGACCCGGTAAAATAAGAAAAGAATGATTTATTTTTTTATTGAAATAGTTATTAACTATATTCTATACTAGGAACCTAGTATTTTTTGGTATGTGAAGTAAAGTGGCATTAAATGTAAGCCAAAATTAAGACGTGGTGAGGTCCAGGATCCAAAATTGAAGTATAATTTCTACATCATAGGTATCATTTTAGCTTTATAGTTTATATTAACTATAGTAATTATTTATTATAT